TCACTTTTCTGTGGCAGCTTCAGGGTACAGCATCGTTGTGTGAAACACATAGGGGGTCGCACTTTTCCGCTGGGAGGGGGGGGTCGTATTTGGTCGTTGGGAGAGAGGGGGGTCGTATGTGCCTTTGAAAGAAGAGCAGTTGTTTGAGAAAAAAATTTCTCTGTTGTTTGACTTTTCGCGTGATTTTTCCTGTTTCATGTGTACTATATACATCCCTCCCTCGATAGCAAAGTGTTGGAGAAAAGTAAAAAAATTCTCGGAAAAAATTGGTATTGAAGTTGGGGATAATCTCAGAGCTCGACGGATCTTTAAGCGAGAAACTGGACTGGAAAATGTGGGAAATTCATAGGTAGGTGTTGGGGGAAATGGAGGTCGTACCGAGACCTCCATTTAGGTTGGGGAAGTGGGGGGGGGGGTCGTACAATGAAATCGAGACATTTACCGTTCCCGCGATCAAGTGATCCACGCAACGCCTCCGTGAGTTAGGCATTCGGATCCGCACTCGCACTGAGTGTACCACGTCCGTCACTCAAGAGAGCGAGATAAAGCCGCCCAGGGTACAGCATCGTGATGTGTGAAATGGTAGTATGGGTACGATCCATCCCCCTAGAAGAGAAGGTCATTCAAACCCCAAGAAAAACTGATCTTAGGAGGTTTCATGATTTTGAGGAAGGTTGCTAGCGCGTTTTCTTATTTTATTGTCTCTGCTTGCGAGTGGATTGCGCAGATTCAAATTCACTTGGGGAGAAAGCAGCAATATGGCTAGTGTGAACTTTACATGCAATTATGTACCACTGAAGTAGCTATCTCTTTTATATGATTGCATTGCATGTCTACTTTACTCACAACACAGTTTTCGTTTTGAAGAAATCGTCGAAGCCTCGAACGGTGATCTTCACCCAAGGTGCCGACCCAGTAATCGTGGCCATTGGTTCCAAACTGACCTTGTATCCTGTACCAACCGTTCCTAAAGAAAACATTGTCGACACAAACGGAGCTGGTGACGCCTTTGTGGGAGGTGCGTGAATTTCACGCCTTTTTTCCAATTACTCTTAAATCTTCTATTTTTTTTCTTAAATTTTCTCTTGCGAATCCATATTCGCTGTTTCAGGTTTTCTCGCCCAATATATCCAGAACAAAAGCATTGAGGAAGCCGTGAATTGTGGCAATTACGCAGCTGGTGAGATTATCCAAAAGCACGGATGCACTGTGCCGTCCGTCTGCAAGTATCACTAACGGTTTGAACCGCTTCTGTGATGAGAATGATCGTTTCTCTAGAGCTCATTTCTTCGTTTTCGCTGAATGGAATGGTTATTGAAGACATATGTTCTTCTTTTATACGTTTGCCATTAGAGCACTATATTAGTTCTGTTGTGGTAGAAAGGGATGATTTTATTTGTGTTCTCTTTGGTCTGCTGAGTTAGCGTTTTACCCTAGTTTGTGAATTATTATATTTCACTACTAAATTGCCTCACTAATAAGTATTATTCCTTTGTGACACTGTTACGGCTGGTAAGCTGCCAAATAATTTTATGAGAGGTTTAAGAGATGGTTTGGTGTATTCTCGAAGCTCAGTGGAAATTTAGCCTTAATAACGTGATAACAACTCAGATATATATTGTTGTTTCGACTTTTTGTGGGATCGAAGTTGAGAACATTGTTGACTTTCTACGTTTGTTTAGTAATTAAATGTTTCGCTAACGTTCTTCCCAAAATAAAGGGATGTCTTGTTGATTATTACGACGCTCTGTTCCACACAGTTGATATTGAGGATTACTGATGGAGGATATCATGTTATATCGCATTTAGTAAGTTGGCGAATTTGAGGTCATGTCTGAAATGCCTTCAGAGGTGTTAAGTAAGACCGCGTTCAGACTTCGCGATCGAATCTCTCAAGCGATCTCATCGCGAAGTCTGAAAGCTGTTTAAGACAGCTTTGCGGCTACTGGACGGGGTTGGTGTGTTCATACTTCGCATCTTACTTTGCGACACTAGATAGTGGGAGAACACTTGCCATATGAAAGTGTGAGTTTGGACTGGCGAAGTGAGAAAGAATAAGAATCGGGACTGTCAATCTGTTGATTCTTCTGTGTTAATGATTGCCTAACATTCGCGATCAATGCTTATACCTTCTTTGGGATGATTGCGCGATCCGAGCGATCAGCCACGAAGTACGAACGTTCTCTGAGCAAGTGTTGTGGATGTGGCAAGTTGCTTGTCTCTGATCCTTATCGGAGAAAAATGGCCATTCAGTTTGCTAGAGGTTCACGTGTACCAACTATTATCTTTTTCTAACGATAGTAGCCATCAGCCATGGTGAGAAAACGTGTGCTCTGGATTAGTCGCAGCAGCGTCCCACCTACAGGCATGCATTGAGTGGGGCTGTTGCTTGCACTTTTCGTGGTTCTTCCAGGACGCACAACAGCAAGTAGTTGTATGGGTGATCGGTATAGCAGTTTGCAGAATGCGGAGTCTACTAGTCAAACTTTTCGCTGACGGATCGCAAAAATTGCTCCACGAGAAATCCCCACCCACAACAGGGGTCTGCTTGTTTTATTCATGAGGGTTACTCTGACAGTAATTGCAAAGTTTAAGTAAAGATTCTCACGGTTTACCTCTGCTCGGGATGAGTTCATAGTTCGCTATATGGTCGCGTGTAGTTAAAGAGTGGCCACAACCGCGGCCTCGAATTGAGGCTGTGATGAACGGTCTCGAATAATAGACAATACAGTATTGGATAACAAATAATACTGAAGAGTACAGTGGGGAGTTCAGTTCCCGTCTAAGGGCACGTGCAAAACGGAAACCCCCTTAATAAATTCAATTGAATAGTAAAATAATCAGCCTTCAGAGTAACGTTGAAACTGTGGACTTTGGAAAAAATGCAATGAATTTCTTAACATCACATTTCTATTTTATTTTATTAGAGTTTAGGCGTTGAATAACTCGTGCACGTCGGTTTTGGCACATCAAATGATGATGACCCGAATATAGTTGTGAATGCTAGAAGAGCCAAAGAACATCCGATAGAGATTTGATAGAAATGGAGGGAAATTTTTGTATCAAAGCATAATGTTTTTACTTTACGTCCGGGAACCAAGGTGATCCTACTACGAAAAATCCTCATTTCTCGTAGTAGGTTCTTCAGCAATAATGTGAAGCTCCAGAAAGTTTGTTTCAAAAAACCAGAACCACTAAATTAAAATCCCGCAATGTTTCTGTAGTTAGCACTTTTGTTAGTCTTAAAGCTTGTTGTTTCTTTCAAACAAGTAAAGAGCATATCAGTCTGACTTATTGTCACCTCAGTCGTTACTCCCGGTCGCGAAGCATCAAACCTATGTGTCTTTCGGCTTTTTTTAAATAAATCTTTGGAGCTTTACACTGTTGTCAAACATTGGGGGCCGTGATTCGGGCCAAATTCTTGGTCAAATATCTTCTTCCAAGTTCATGAGACTAAACAAAATCACGACTACTTTGATGCCATGGTTCCTTAGGTGCCCTAAGTCCGCATGAAATGGCGACGCCGTGCGCGCAATCACTAGCGGACATTTTGGCTGCCTTTATACTTTCGCGTGTAGTTCTTGTCGTCTCATGTTAACATTCTGTCAGATCACAAACTAGGAGTACTGTCGGAATCTTGTCGTCTTTATCAAGCTGATGTATAGACAGATGTCCTGAGACGGGTGCATAGAGGCAATACACAATAGGCTACATTGCATCCCTTTTATCTGGGATTTTTTGGAGGCGGTTTGTAGTGCCATTTTTTTATATTAGCAATCGCTGCACCGTTCCCGTTGTTACAATTCGGTCCTTCTTGTTGCTGTAAAATTAGAGTATGGTGCTGTCCCGGAGTCTCATCACATCTGAATGTGTAATAACAATGTGAAACTCCAAAAATTTATTCCAAAAAACTCAAAAGACAGCAAAAGTCTCAAAAGTTTTTTAAAATATCTTATTAAAAAACTTTTGAGGCTTTTGCTGTCTTTTGAGTTTTTTGGAATAAATTTATGGAGTTCCACATTGCTATTACACATTCAGCTGTAAAATTAGTTTTAAAATCGGACATTGCCTTCTAATGTGGTCTTGCTACTGGTTGGTTTTTCATTCATTTGCACACGTACGAATGTTGAATTGTGAGCAATACTGGCTGTTAAAGCAAAGCCAAACCTGCCACGATTAGCTTATTAGTTACGGTGTTCCGACGTGAATTCAGCATTTTAGGATACTTTCATAGCCATTTTGTGTGCTTACTCCATTGTCCGAACGCTCCTATTTAATGGAATATTTATTACCGTTTAGATGAACATCGATGACAATGGCAACTCTTATGCGGAAATGCAGGCAGTGCCATTCACTCATCCTGAACCGACTGTGCCATCTGAGCATGATATAGTGGGAGATGAGTACGGGCAGGTGAGTAAATGAGTCTGACACTATTGCTCTTGTCCTTTGATAGTTATGAGTTCTCTCTTTTTTCCTGCATCCGAGCAGAAAGTTTTGTTTTGGTAACAAACGTGGTCTGTAGTCTTGAGTCTTGTTAACTGATGACGCCCATCTTTTTGGGTATCTATAACAAGTATCACGGAGTAGGCTACAGAACAGTAATTTCTACAATAAAAGTAGGAGCATTCTGTTTTCCGATCGGTAGCTTAAATATTGCATTGTCTCAGATTGAGAACGCTGTACATCAAATTGCAGAAATTATGAGTAGGTATGTGGTTACTTTACAAAAAGTAGTAGGTAAAATGAAAGTTTCACGAGATGGAGAAATTGATTGAAAAATAGTTGAGGGAGTGGTTATAGCGATACTACTTTTTTTCACGAGAGTTGATTTAAGGATGTTGTGGTTACGATGAGCAGCCTTCAATAGTAAAGTTCTTGGATGCTAAAGGGTTTCATCGGTTTTAGTAGGAAGTGACTCGTTCTCTTCCATAGTCCAGCCCCTGAGAGATGTTCTCGCTCAACACAATGGCATGCCCTGTAAAAAAATCCCAAGAAGGTAGTGAAAATCGTTAGGTCTGGTAAGTTTAGCTAGATTAGACCGAATCGGCGGCTCCGCAGACGCGCAGGCGTTCGTGTTCTGATAGAGGCAGTTATCAGTATGAAATGCAATCGCGGAGCTTCCTTTAATACTTCCGATCGATCGCATGATAAAGTCCATCAGTCAGCGACATTCAGCGAAAGAGCGGGCTGATGAAAGAACACAAATGTACAGCTGGAACAAAGGACGAGCTTTTGTACATAGACACTTTTTATCTTTTCGTCGCTACAGCGGTTAATGCATTCTTTTCACACGAAGGTATATAATTGCTTATTATTATCGTTTTGCAAAACCCATCTGTTTTCTATTAAAGTCAGCATTAAAATGTAACGTTCGTATTGTGTCGGGATGGAGCAATAATTGAAAGGGATGTCTGTGTTGGTGATCGCGCCAGCAGGTTATAGATTCAGTTGAAGTGCCATAGGCTTTGCGTATTGTTCGTGCTACTATGGTCTGGACTTTTCTGTATTCAAGCTTGATTGACTACGAGATCACTCCACTTCCCTTGGCTTGTCGCCCATTTTATTTTTGTTTTGATGCGGCTTTCCTTTTTGGGGTGGGTCATGTCATACAGCTCTGAGAGCGAGATGACGAGCAAGTGATTTTATATCGTGTTTATCTTCTTACCTACTGTTCTCAGAATTTTGTCACTCAGAACACATGCTTGATCAGAGGCAGCTCAAAGACAGTCAGCGCGCTCGCGCATTTTGTAGGCATCTTTCCTCCTACAGGTAGTCTGGTCCTCAGTGTTGATCTTTTTTTGCGGCTTCCTAGTTAGTATCGAAGGCGCTGTGACCCTCATAAGTGGCAGTTCTGACGCCGTCCCAGTTGTCCCGCTCACCGAAACTCGAAGGCTATATGCTGTCATGAATTCAGTTTGAAGGCCGTGTTTTACCCTTTTTCACTACGGTACTAGCTTTGGATGCCGCGAAGAGACGATTATGGAACGAAAGGCGGCAGCATATCGCGCTGCTGATATTATAAAAGATGAGCAGCTTCGGAGAAGACGTCCAGAGAGGCTGCCAGCTCCCTCTGGAGAGTCATTCATCGACTATAGGTGTGTATTTGGAACGCCACTACCTGAAACATACAATCGCGGGGTTTCTCTTCAACTATTGTCTGAGTTTTTTTTTCTACTTGTCGCCTTTGGAATTTGCAACTTTCCCTTGTGAGAACTTCGTTTCACAAGAGAGTCGCGTGGTTTCAGAAGTTAACAAGGAAATGGAAACCTATCCCATAACTTCTTTTTTCATTACAAATAACCAGTGAAGTGTGATGTGACCCTATTTAGAGTTTTATTATTATTATTATTATTATTATTATTATTATTATTATTATTATTATTATTATTATTATTATTATTATTATTATTATTATTATTATTATTATTATTATTATTATTATTATTATTATTATTATTATTATTATTATTATTATTATTATTATTATTATTATTATTATTATTATTTATTTATATTTTCTCTTATGTGGTCCTGAGTCGTGTTCATTTGAACGCACATCTTACCTAATCATTTTTATTTGAATCCTTCCTTCTGGCTATAGGTGCCGAAATTGATTATAGCAAATCTTCTGATGGAAAATGTTTCGTGGAAGCCTGTCAACATTTTTTGTCCCAGATTCCTGTTATGATGAGTGATGGCGAAGGGAAGGAGTTTATGGTGCACTTTGCTGACGATCGCGATATGGAGCATATAGAAGAGGAACTCGAAATTGGAGTTGGGAATGTGAGCATTTTCATACAATTTGCCTTCGACTTATAAGCACTTTGCCTTAATTGCTTCAGAATACGTTTTTCTTCTTTTTCTTCTTCTTCTTCAGCGTTTGTCCCGCTTGATCGCGGGGTCCGCTCTTTTGATACAACTACGCCACTTTTCCCGATTGGATGCCTGATCAGGGTGGATGCCGGCTATTTTCAAGTCGGTATGCAACGTGTCGAGCCAGCGCTGTTTGGGACGTCCCTTTGGCCGCTTTCCTGGTACCTCGAGTTCGAGAGCAGTTTTCCGGACGGTATCAGCCTTTGCGCGAAGTACGTGCCCATACCATCGAAGGCGCGTTTCACGCATTTTCTCCGTTATGGGGGCTACACCATACTTCTTACGCATGACATCATTACAGATGCGGTCCGATCGCGTGACGCCCGCCGTCCAGCGCAACATCTTCATCTCCATCACGCCAAGGCGAGCCTCAACTTCTTTTGTCGCGGGCCAGCACTCGGCACCATATAACGCGACAGGTCGGACGACAGTACGATAGATCTTTGATTTGAACCGCTCTGGCATTTTCTTGTCGCGAAGGATCCCGGACATGGATCGCCACTTAGACCACGCGGCACTCACTCGTGCGCTCACTTCCGAGTTCAGACTGCCGTCGGACGCAAGTGCTGATCCGAGATACTTGAATGTTTCCGTGCGCTTGAGCACCGTGTCATCGATCTTAATGGAGCCCGCTCATTTGGGTCGGTTGTCAGGTACTCGGTTTTGTTGACGTTCAACCTGAGTCCAAACTTCGCCAGACGCTCGGCCCAAGCTTGCACCTGCTGTTCCAGTGCGCTCTTATCTTCACAAGCAAGCATCACGTCATCAGCGTAAAGCAGGGTCCATGGCACTTCCTTCTGAAGATCTCGTGAGATGGCATCCATGACGGCCACGAAAAGAAGTGGGGAGAGCGCAGAGCCTTGATGTACCCCGACGGTGATGGGGAACTCCACTGAGACACCCGCTGGTGAGCGAACTTGGCTCCCTGGGCATGAGTAAAGGATGCGCACCCACTCAATGAGCTCTTCGGGCACGCCGTGCCGCCTCAAAGCGGCACGGCGTGCTTGAAGAGAATAAACGAAATAATAATTATAATAAGAATATAATAACTATGTTGAAAAACGTATTCTGAGCGCCTTCAGAATACGTTTTTCAACATAGTTATTATTTTCTTATTCGCCGATTAATTCGGTTCCATCTGTCTAGGAGTAGAGCAGATTGAAATTTTGATTTGAATTTTCCCAGTGCTACTATTTCTCTGGGTTTTGTTTTTATTAGGTAGAACGTGCACTAGTCACTCTGTTCCCACCTTCCCATTCTCAAATTCGCGTCATCTTCAACTATATTTTCCTGATGATCTTCTTCTTGCTGCACTTTCACATTGGTCTGGTTCAAAACATCTCCCCTGCACTTCTCTAAAAATATGGCTCTTGATCAAGAAAACAAGGGAAGATTCTCGTTCTAACAGACCATGCTGGTACTTACCAAAATTCCCTTCTCCAGCGTACACGACTGTGTGAGCTCTATTTATTTTGTGCTCGTTATCACTCTCTCTCGTGGTTCAGTGTTTCGTTTAAGTCCCATGTGGGTCGATTGATCAAATTTTGATCATTTATATGTACTTGCGTGCACGGAAATTTTACTTGGGGTACGTATTCCACCATCTTTTGATTTCCATTCAATGCTGTGACAAATTTTTTTTTGCCACAAAGGTACCATTTGTGCTGAGCGAATCCCACGCAGTTCGCAGAATCAGCGGCTAGCGACTGATCTATGCCGTTTAAATTTTGAGTCGGACACTTTGCGAGTCAAATCGGACTCTTTTCATATCAATTCGGACACACCCCTTACTTCGGGCTATTCTTTAGTTAGACCACACTGCATACTGCTGCAATCCCTGTCCCAACAACCTGGCCATTTCTCAGCACGGTCGACTGTTTTGTAAACTCTGCTTTTGTGACTTTTTTTGCACTTTTGCTGTTTAGCACATACACATTAGAAAAGTTGATATAGCGGCAGAAACGCTCCGCTCGCTTACTAGCAAAGTTATTGGGAGTAGTAGCTTTTAACACTTTCTTTGACGTCGCTCTTTTCACATTCATTTTTTCACATACAATATGTACTCTTAGATATGCATATATACAATGGCACACCGAGCCTCGATCCTTTGATCACGCCAGTTTTGCGTCTTTTCTTGCTGAAGCTCAATCTTTTTTTCGGAATGTTCGCCTTTTCAGGCTATAACAGTTGGCTCCGCTCCTACTAGATTGGCAGGCTGGGGTCCGAACGGGCAGGTTGTGATCTCCTCCGTCGCTCGGAACAAAAAAGGGACAGTTTGCTCCGAGCGCCGAGCGAGACCATAACCAGTCAGTGCAGACCCAAGACTGCCGAGTTGGATCATTCTTAAGAAGCGGGCGGAGTGTCTCTCAAAAGTAGGGCTACCTGTTACAGTCCAAAGACAACAATTTCGAAAAAATGATCGAAATTTTGCAACAAGACGCAAAATTGGATGTGTTCAAAGAAGCGGGCTTAGTGCGCCAAGGTATAGATGTATATCTGCGAGTACATTCGTTTTGTGAATACGGAATGAGGCTTGCGGCAGTACCTGCTATGGTCTAGTTAACCAACTGCCCGATGTAAACGGTGTGTCCGATTTGATTTGAAAAGTGTCCGATTTGATTTGAAAAGTGTCCGATTTGGTTTGAAAAGTGTCCGATTTGATTTGAAAAGTGTCCGATTTGAAGTGGAAATGGTATATGTCGTCCTCGAAGCTCAGGGCTGTACGAACGGTCCTGGTGTGACCTAATGGGGCATTTGCGGAATCGTGTTTCCTACCATCCGCTCGTCGTACCACTTCAATGATCAAACTTGTTTGTTTTATTTACTTTCGCTCTGAAACGATGGTTTTGAAACAGACCTTGATGATGGCGTATAATGTTAAACAGATACAACAGATATAATGTTAATCGTCTCTCGACGCGAATCGCAAAATCACAGACTCGCAAATGCGAGCGCTGCCTAATGAGACGTTTCAGACGGTATTTCGTCTGTTCGTCTGCTATGGAGGGAGTGTGTAATCTTTCCAGCTCATTCCAGGAGAACCTCAAGACTATGGGCTACCAACATGAAGAGCGGACTACAGAAACACCGGAAGGGCGCACATGCAATCCAATACCCGATCAAGAACGATTTCTTCCCATAGGTCAGTTAGGATCCTTGATTGTTACGTTCTTAACTACCTGGCTATCAGTTCAGCAAGGATTGATGTATCGTTCATTGTCTTACGTTGTTCAATATTTAGCCAATGTTGCTCGTGTCATGAAGCGAATGATACCAAGTAGTGGGAAAATAGCGAAGGATGCTAAGGAATGTGTTCAAGAATGCGTTTCTGAATTCATATCGTTCATCACTAGTGAAGCTAATGATAAGTGTATGAGTGTAAGTTGAAATTTCCAACTAGCTGTGCATCTTTCCTTCTTACTGATAGTTCGTTCGTCATTATATGAAGTATTAGTCGTGGTCTTTAAGGAGAAGAGGAAGACGATAAGTGCTGATGATCTTCTGGAAGCGATAAACAATATGGGCTTCGACAACTATGTGGCTCCCCTTCAACTGTTTCTGGAGAGGTGTGCTTTTAGTGCGCGCTCTTCTAACCACGGAAGTAATTCAGGAGCGTTATTCGAAACGGTTTTGTCCATGAATAGGGAAACAGGCATGGACTTCGAACCTGAGCATGATTCTTCCTTCGCGGCTCATGGAAATGCTAGAAAATGGGTGGAAAAACACTCTTTGGAAACTGCGCCTTTTACAATTTAAATTCATTCGGCATCATCTCGACTGCTTGCTGAATAATGGCTGCAAAATGAACGCCTCGAAAATAGCCCTGTAGGGTCTTATCTCTGGTGAATAGAGAGCGGTGTTTCATTCCTTAGCAGACAGTGTGAGCTATTATCGATGGCGTAAGCTAGTGGCTTGTAAGTGAACCTTATCAGCTACTAAGGCCAAGTTCCACGTCTTCTGTCCATGTCAGCAAACTTTTGCATTTTTATCGATTTGAGTTTTCCTGAGTATTCCTGAGGTTCACATTTCCCGTAAAGTTGAATTACATTTACGATGAAACTTGACCAAAAAGGAAGAATTACATCACAGCAAGAGCACCCAAAAAAGGTGAAGGGATAGCATTTGTTACCTTCTCCATAGGGACAGTGGGTTCCTCATTGGTCGCATGATCGTTAGGGGATGAGAAAGGTCCGGCACGCATCTAAGGCTGCGTTCATACTTTGCTTTAGCGTACGCCAGCGTTCTCGTAAAGCGGTTTGAGCTTGAGCAAAACTGCCTGCGAAAATGTGGCGTGCGCTAGTGGACGCTCATATCGCTAGATCGGTACACTTTCCTAGTCGTTCGAAACGCTGCTGCACGCCGGCGAACGCTGGCGTTGTTCTCGCAAAGGGTGAACGCAGCTTAACGTATCAAAGGCATCCCTGGAATGTACCAAACAAGCAGAACATGTGAAGGATGTAAAGGTCAACCCACTGCAACCCGAAAAGGTCTAAAGTTCTCTCACTTAGACGCCGTATTTAGTAGTGACCAATGTCTCTTTTAACGATTGTGGCATTTATTGTTAGTGCTCGCGCTGGAAATTGTAGGATTGCTCTGAAAAGCATTGCATGAGCTTATATCTACTAGTACACGGTTGGCGGCGGATGATGCCATAGTGAAAAATGAGTGCCATATACGTGATTAGGGCATAAGATAGCTCCATTCCAGATGTTTCGCGAAGAGTTTTCTTGCTAATATGTCGGGGTTACTAATCAGGAAGTGCCAACTGAACCATGAGCATACAAAGGAGACGGGATCTGAAGCTGTATGTTTCCATACAGACATAAATGTGCAAGGAAAATTTGAAACTGCAAAAATGCAAAAATCTGTGAGCATGGGGAAATGATTCCTATATCCGCACTATTGCCGTTCCATTGTGAGTGCAACCTGCTAACTATTTCGGTTGCTGGTAGCGAATAATGCTCTGTGTGCAGTAGATAAAACCTCATCGGTGGCCACATTTTAGGACATTGGTGCAGATTAGAAGCACCAATACACTGACCTGAGACGCACTGTTGTCTATGCCTCTATGCTGTCACATGTCTATGCCTCTAGATTGCTGAAAACCGGTTAACACATTGCGCACCGCCTTACTGAGCGCATCTCGCGATTTTCAATTGTTGATGAAGAATAGGACCTTCCGTACCCGGGAACATGTTTTGGCAACACTAGAACATGAAAGACATGTCAAACTTATCGAATAAAATACCGCACAGGTGCAAAATCGTGACACACCATGTGTGTCACGCGGTCCGGAACGTGTTAAAAGCGCTCCACTTCCTGAACGACCTCCCAGATGAACTGATTTGAAGACTTTCTACGTCTGAGAGATTTCTCTTAGGTACCGAGCTGCTCATAAGTTGAGTTCGGCGTTCAACAATTCAATTACAACTTCAAGGACCTTTGGTGCAAATTCGAGTTCCACGGGGATTCACAATGGTACATATGAAAGTGGTGGATTTTTCTTTGAATATTCCGAGTTCATACTAAAGTCGTGTTGTTAAGCTTTTTCCTAGAAAACACGTTGGCACTTGCAGGGACGTCTTCAAACATGACTGCTAGTCGAGATTATTCATCTCGACCTATCCTCATGACGGCATCACACCCTATTTCGTCGTCCGCAGCAAGCACCCACACTTACCAAGTAAGAAAATGTAATGTATTCAATGAATATGAGTAACTTGGCTGTCAGTTTGGGCAGCTCGGAAGCACGAAATTGGAATTAATTGAAGTTTTTCTCACTTATGTATCTCAAACCCATGCAGTGGTCGCAGAAAAGCAAAGGTTGCCCCATGTCGATAGTTAACTCTCTTGCAGTTACGTGAAAAGGGAGCGTCTAGTTTTTTTTGCTTGTAAGTTATTTCCTAGAGGGAAATTGTTTTGCTCTATTGTTTTTTTTTAATATTGGCGCTATTTAACCTTTACCGCTCCAGTGTTTTTCTTGGGGTATGTGGCAGGAATTTTCTTCTCGGCGGTAGTTTTGCAAGCTAATTGCGGATATTTCATCCACTTGTCGACAACAAGCGACATCGCCTTGCGCACTGGTGCCAAAACAGCTCGAATTATCAAAAGCTATGTTAAAGTTTTCTTGAAGATTCGCCTTAAAGGCAGTTGGCACGATAAATCCCCCAAGACGACTAGGATCAATACTCCTGGCAGGATAGAATTCCGCGACCCTGGGCAGGCGCTGCATAGCGGTTTCCCCGAGGAAGGTGCCCTTATAAGGGCCCTATCAAGCCACAACTTTACGTCCCAAACGCCCGCCACCCGCCCACAAATGGACGACCGTTCCTGACGCTCGTATTCATTCATTTGCTAAGCAAATTATGAAGCGAAGGGATTGGTATGAAGCGGCCGTGATGCTGCATGCATACATGGGTACACATATGCAGCCGTATCTTCGGTAGCGGTGATTGGTAAGATGCCTACGGGAAACTCGTCCGAAATCGATTTACAAGTCACTGAGAACGGAGGCTTTTTCTTCGCAGGATTTTGACCGTTTCACTCCGTTCTTTCGCCATTTCCCCACTATACAGCGCCCTACTAGCATTTTAGGCTAAGTAGGAAACCATCGTGCCAACTGCCTTTAATCGTCTGTTGTCGTGAACAGTGCGTGATACGCAACTTTGAGTGCTATCTGTTGAAGCGGGTAAGCCAGCATTCCGACTTTGCGACGACGCGCGTTGACGTGCTGTAACGGGCTGCTACGCGCGTCTACACCTTACCACTGCAAGACTCTCGTGCTATAGACGCAAACGCAGCCACAGACGAGAATCAGTCCGCTGTCCGTTTGCGTTTCGAGAGAGTCTAGGATGGCAGGAAGGTAAACGCTGCCTATACACAATCTGGTACCATCTTATTCCCCTATGCTCGCCCAGAGCAATAGCGGCCAGTGCCGCTCAACACCGGACTGTGTGATTAGGCAACTCGTACCCTCATACCCCCTCCCACCCAATTCTCTCAAAACACTAGCGGTCAACGCCGATTGGTTAATGTCTGCGGCTGCGTTCGCGTTTTGGCATTGGAGCGCTGTTGCAATTGTGTCACGTCATCGCGAAGTCTGAACACTGCCTAACGTTGAATTCCTTTTTTCTCGTAACATTGATCACAAATGGTACAAGGATTTCACGTGAATCGGGGGAAACATCACAGTGAAGATACTCCCAATATTGTGGAGGATCGTGCGTTATAACGTATTGGCTTGCTTGTGCTCTCAGGTTTATGCTCAGTGTGTTTCTTTACAAAGAACAGAAGTAAAAGTATTCTTCAGGCGACGACATCTTCTCATGGATCACCCGATATTGCACCGGTATACTTGCTGGATTGCTTATATGTACCTCTTATGACGAAATTTTCAACATTGTTTCAGAGCACATCCTCATCTAATGGAGCTCCAGTTGTACTTGCCGGTGGACTGGCGGGAATGTCGGTGACAGCGCTACAGCAGCAACCTATGCAGATCTACATCGATCCAGCAAGCAAACAGCATTACATGGCCATTGAAAGTGGGTATTGTGGATATCGACAGTACCGGTCTTTAGTTCATTCTTGATTTGGTAACAGAACTGACTGTTATGAGTTCATCGGAATTTTCAGCTGATCAAGGAATGCAGCTATACCCTATTCAAATACAGACCGATGGTCCTGTAGCGTACTCCTTTGCTCCTGAGGTTTCCACAGCTGTAGCTTCTACTGCTGGCTCTGGTAATCAGGTGCCTGAAGTAATGTTTTATGACACAATTCATAATAATTTTTGAGTTCGTGAGTTCGACTTGTATTCTAATTTGTTTCCTCTTTAGACGTTCATAATGATGGCTACGGCAGATGTGGATGATCCGCACACTAGTACAATAACTGGTCAGCCTTCAGCACGAGGGCAGACGACAACAACGAACCCTTCGTGTGCTCGTCAAGCACCGAGGACTCACAGCCATAGCGACTTCAGCGTCCGCAACCAACCTCACCAGCCTCGACCCACAGTGACAGCAGGCTTTGTTAGCCACGCTACACACAGTGAAGTGGTGAATAAATTTTTTCGTTCGTTTTTTAGGTGACTTCCTGCGGATCAGTTGCGCTAGTTGGGACCGGTCGCTTTCTACCGCCAGTCGTTGGACTGCTGCAGAATCACAGGCAGGACAAAACTTATTTCGAACTCGACGGCGGTCCAGTGACTAGCGGAGGTTACGATCAGTCAAGGTCGCACAGCTAAATCCTCGAGTCGTGAAGTGTGAACGCAGTCTTCGAATGGTTTTGGTATTTAAAATCGTGGCAGTGCTCCATTAAAGGCAGAGCCCGCTTTCGAAAATGAGGCTTCCATAGTAATAAGATGGCAAGAGGGTCAGTAGAGAAGAAAAACCAGTAGGAAATCAAAGAACTCCTGCTATCAGAATGCTGAGTTATGGGCAAAAGTCGAAACCCAGGCGGGAGTCGAACCCGCACCTCACGCTTTCCGGGCGAGTGCGCTAACGCCACCAGGGCGCTTTACCCTCAGCTTAACGGCTTTTATGCCGTAGCCTTACAGCACTCACACGTTTAACTTGGTGAGCCGGTCAGCCGTAATCGTTAGATATCGGCATGGAACCGCAAGGCCGAAGGCTTTACAAGTTTTTGAAGCTGTTTTGTTATGATAACTGCTGTTTTACGCCGCAGTTCGCGTTCCGAATGTTATCACTTATCAAAGAACTCCTGCCGAACTGAGGTTGTGCGTGGATAGGGCGAAGAAATATGTTTTGGGACGAGTCCTCACTTGTTGATGCCAGCTCTATCTCCTTTCACCTCGATCTCACCATTCGAAGAGGAGAGGGAAGTGGAACAACCGCATCTCAGGTAGCAGTTAAAAGTGAACGCTGGGCATCGCGGCAGTCGGTGGGCGCAGCGGCAGTCCTTTCACGAGTGGGTGGCGCTTACTTCTAGTATTCTTGAGCTACGAAATAGGTGCATCCTTCACCCTTGTAAGGTGGGCTACCATATCCAAAGAAAGCGTGGGACCACTGCCTTGAACGGATCACTAAAGTGATGGAGTTAGTCACAATATCGCTTAATGAGGGCTCATTAACCCATTTCTATTCATGTAACTCCAACGTTTTTTGCAATACCCTGTTATAGAATGCTCAAGCTCGACAGATTTCTCAGAAGCGTCACACACCACCTGGCAGCAAAGGAAGTGGAGGAAAGGTCATAGCACCGCCGAAACGAGTCCGTCATAGTTGACTTCTTATCTCCATAATAATGTATACATCGCACTCATCGTGAGGTGTCCTACACAGTTTTTATTAGGTTTCTAGTTTCTATGTTTATACCTCTATTTGCAACACATAGCTGTTATACGATAGTACTAAGAAGATAATATTTCCATTTTTCACATCTTTATCAGCCTTGTTTGTTCACTTATGATCCATTAGATGAACCTTATTCTCCAAATGAATGATATCTTGAAAGCTCAGATCTCAATTTTTGACTGTCTTTTTATCGATCCAGCGACATCATTTCCGAAAATTCCCGTCGATATTTGTTGTATAGGAATTTTCTTGAAACTCCTTGAAATTCCACATCACTCTGTGTTCTGCTGTGCCACCCCATTGTGTTCTGCCGTTATTTTTCTTTCATTATTCAGTCGGAATTTTTCGTTTGTCGACTTATCCGCGGATGGCACTTTTCATTATCTTGACCGGCGATACTTTTCCATCCATTTTCATAGTGAGAGATTTCTCACCATTTACCATTTTCTCCATACTCGTGGGACTTGTACAAGGGTGGGGAAAATGTTGATTTTTTTTCTATGTTAGAGACTACTTTATTGTAGAAGAAATATTCTCGACCACTCGATAAAAGCTTTTTCATGAAGAATCCTATGTAATATCTGGGAACTATTTCCTATTACGTTTTTACTTCTGATTTTTGGTGCCGACTTTTACTGAAAGTGTTGTGTAATATGAATTTGGGTAATTATTGCTACTGTTTCACTCACTTCCGAGAAAAGTACTGAACCTCTCAAAACTTCTGCGTTCGCATACGCACTCGCCAGAGTGAAGGGTCGTGTTCCTATATAAAGATCCGACTCAATCGGCCTAGAAATAATGCACGCGTAATGAAGTGGCAATACGCAAAGCGTGTGCCTCCGGAATCCGAACAATTCCCGGATGTCGGGGCTTAATAAACAATTGTTTTAACTCTTCTCCGACGACTTCACCGATTCAGCAGGCTGAGAATCTACGGATTCTTCGAATCTACGAGACATTTATTTTAAACTCCAACTGTGTCTCGTGAAACTACTGAGCGCTTTGGTTCGAGGCGCGGTCACGGGGCACTTGTCAACCACACGTGCTCTCGCTGCGAGGGTCCAGGGTTATTTTCTCGAGGCATCTACCAGTCCAGTAGTTGAAGGGAGAAGGTAAAGGAGGAGGGATCAGAGAAGGAAGGAAAAAGAAGGAAGGAGGAAGAAAAAAGGAAAGAGAGGAGAGGCTTCCCGGTTGACAAGTGCCCTGAGACGACTCGAAATCTCTCGCTAGTTTCTGCTCAACATCAGCAGAAATCCTGACTTTTCACATATCAATCAATATTAAATATTGCTGTTCAGTGGCTGGTAGAAGGCGATCCCATCGGAAAATTCATGGAATATGAGTGGATTCAAGCCTGAACGTCTTCAGCTTATATTGCAGCAGCTGTTATTGTCTCAGAAAGCTGGAGAAGATGTAGAAGGAGCACTTTCTGAAATCAGGAAAATAGTGGATGGTATGTTGAGCATCTAATAGTGATTGAGTACCAAGTGAGCGGTTGCCAAGCGCCATCTGTTATAAACCCTGCGGACGAAAACTTCCTAATGACCTCTTTTCATCGGGATATATTTCGAGATGAGGAGTTTACCTCTCTATTTTCACTGTGATGTGTGAATAGGTAACGCTAGAATTATATATGAAGGCAATATCCAGCCGGCGTAACTGGCATAACCGACATAATTGGCGGCAGAACATTACATACATATCGACTGACGTCGAAAACGTCGATTAAAGGGGTTACGCCATCCAAAGGGACTTCGTAAAGTATGAACAGCGTGAGAGGACTCGTCCAAGCTCACCCCTCTCTTCGCTGTAATCTCGTACATGTGCGGATCACTAAAAGATCCTATGCAGGACGTTACAGTTTTTTCCCTCACTTTCGCTTTCTTCTCACTACTGAGCCGAATTTTAATCTTTTTTTCGTTAGTATATAAGCCGACATCAATTGTTTTTGACCGCGAAATATGCTTCATAATCCATCGGTAATTCTATCAACAATGCGGGCGCTGCTGCCGAGACCTGTATGGGCATTCATGGGAAGCAAAAAATGGCACGCAAAGCAAATGAGACGATCTTCCTGTATAGCCTTGCAAGCTACAGGGTCCGTAGCAAAAGTCACTGCGCGATAGCGATTAGCGATAGCGACGCGCGATATGTTGGGATAAAAGGTGAACCTGTCGTGCCGTTTTCTTCCCATCATTCTCATCCTGACCTCGTCTTAGAGCGCGTTCAGACTTCGCGATCGCGCGATCGGATCGCTTGGATCGCGCGATCGAATCGCGCGATCGCGATCGCGCGATCGGATCGCTTGGATCGCGCGATCCGATCGCGCTACTGAGGGTGAAATTACTGCGGGAGGGGGTCATGTTCGTTCATGTTCAACTCAACTCAACAAACAACAACAACAAAGTTCTGGGAAGGGAGCGTACTAATATCACCATTTCTCACATCACAATGCTGTATCCTGCCTCCAATAGGCAGTTCCAAAAACGATATAAAAGTAAGTTCGACCTTTTTTGATGTCTTTTAGGCCGTGTTCATATTCGCAATACTGACGTTGCAGAAACCGTTGAAAGGAAAGGTTGTGTATAGACCTGGAGGATGGAGAAAAGAACAAAACAACGAGCAAAACACAATGTGACAAAAGTAAAGTGAATATCTGGAGGACTGGCAAAATCGGGGGGAAGGAGAGAAACAACATCAGCCGCTGTTAAAAGTTCTGCGTGTCTTACTTTTTGGAACAATGATGCTTCAAACACTCCGCTTGAACGTACTCAAATGCAAATTCAGTATAATAATTAGCATATTGTATATTTAGTACTATTTTACATAGGAAATAATAAATAACTCAAAGATATTTCGAAACGTTCCTTAAAATTAGGAGGGCGTTTACACAAAGGAAGAAAGAAGGAAAAGAGAGAGAGAGCAGGATCAATAAACATATACGCACATAACCCCCTCCCGCAGTAATTTCACCCTCAGTAGCGCGATCGGATCGCGCGATCCAATCGCGCGATCCAATCGCGCGATCCAATCGCGCGATCCGATCGCGCGATCCAATCGCGCGATCCGATATCGCGCGATTCGACTCGCGCGATCAATTCGCGCGATCCGAAATCGCGCGATCCGAAGCGATCGATCGCGCGCATCCGCGAAGTCTGAACCGCTCTTATGTCTCCACTGACTCGCATGCTCAGCGAGCGTTCGTAAATGTGCAGGCACTAAACGCCAAAATGTGCGCGACGTCGCAAAGTGCCCTCTTTTCACACTTCCCGATCCATTTGGTATGCATTCTTACGAGGTCGTGCTGAGCGTTCAGACCGATCCGAAAGAATGTGAAGGTGGAGGCGTGAATAGCTCTCTGCCGCACTTTTTTGTAGTGCTTTAAACACCAGATTTCATTTAAGGTTCGCATTTCAGAGGCCTCCCCTTCGTCTTCTCTACCAGATTTGGAGCTGGCAAGCGGTGTGGCTACCATTTATGCAGCTTTACGGGTAAGTAATCTTTTTGGGTCTATATGTGCGTCAACGTATGTCTCGTAAGAGATGACGTAAGGTGGGAGTGTGCACAGATGTTCTCTCTCTCTCTCCCCTCTCTCTCTCCTCTCTCTCTCGCTCTCTCTAAAGCCGAAGAGCGCTGAATTACTCGTTTTTTCATGTTATTACTTCTCTTTAGTTACAGCGCACTCCAGATCGTGCATGAAACACTCGATTAGCAGAAATATCATTTTTATTTCAGATAGCAGAGTTCACAAAAAAACCCACGAGTTCTTTTTAATTCATCCCGTTTGTAGTTCGGAATGAAGTCATCTATTGCAAGCGATAAATGGATACGTGATCGTGTCGCTTACGCTACTACGGTCCATTCATGCTTCAGAGGTCTTCATGATAGAAGATCCATCTCGCAGCTGGTAAGTATGTGTATTGCTTGCCATCAGCTTTTTCACAACCACCGCAAAATATAGATTTGAGACAACTTGATGGATGTCATCGATCGCTTGATGGTAAGAGATAAGGCCCACAGAAAATGGGTTTCCATCGGAAAAGCATGAGTAGTTGGAAAGAGATCCCGCACATCCATGTGTTTTAGTTGGAGGCGGTCGGAGACTCATAACTTCTCCACTTATACTTATGGTTAGAGCAGCATACCAGCGCCTCAGCACTTTTTCTTAGTTCAGAGTCATTTGGCTGTTTGGGAAGAGGGCCCTTCGTTAATTTTGGAGTTTTGTATTATGATAGCGCAACGAATGGCGCACTCGCCCTGGAAGCGTGGGGTGCGGGTTCGACGTTTGCCCATAATTCAGCATTCTTGTGATGACCTTCGTTTATTTTTTTTGTACAAACCCTTCTTAATTTCAATCCCTTTTTGATTCCTGGCTTTAAAAAGTGTTGACTTTCGCAAAGTATTTCCCATAAGGCTGTTTCATTGGCGACTCTTACAGAGGTAAACAGTGGGCGCTATTGTAATAAAATAATTGTAGTTATAACCTGCAGAAGAAAAAATATTCCAGGGAAAAATAGTGAAATTCCAACATGTTTCTTCTCTGCTTTCATACATGCTTTCCAACATGGAAGGAGATTCTGTTTCGCTGTTTCGTTTGCTCGAAGCCACGTATGACCTATGCTCTATTATTTTTTGGAGCGAAGAAATGAAAAAAGGTGAGTATTTCAAATGGATCTTTCGATATGACGTGCGTAGTATCATATTTCGTATATGAAACTACTCCGCTCATGTAGACAGTATGGCCAAGTTCAAAGGAGTTTGATGTGGACAAACCCTTTTATTCACGGCACGCACTTGCCTTCTGTTTAGAACATTCGAGGCATTTTCATCATTTAGGGGGTGGGGCGAAGACCACTTCGTTTGAGAATATCATTTTTAGCCCATACTTGGGAACGGCTAGATGGGACAAAGGTGATGTTAAAGACACATAGTACGCTCACACACATTGAGGGTGTATGAGACTATCAGCCCCCCAGCTGTCGATGTGTCGTGGTCCCCCCGCCCAAACATGCCCAGGAATGGAGATACAGGACCGTGAAACACGCTAATTCCTCCATGCTCCGCCTTACACCTTTTTGCGGCGCAGATTCCCGTCCTTCATAACATCCGTCGTAAGCGCGCGTGTCGCGTGCGGCTCCTTGGCACTTTGCCAAGTCCTTTAATTGCGCTTTCAAATACAAGTAAAACGCAATTTCCTGATGCGGATAACATTGGAGGTGCTGCAAAATAAGAACAGAAGATGATGACGAGGGTCAGAACTTAAAAGCAACTGTGCCACTTCTGCAACATCCCTCGGAGGCCGCGTATTTCCACGAAACGTGAAAATTAAAAACAACATACTCGTCAGTTTGATACAAGCAAAACGCAATTTCCTGATGCGAATAAAAGTTTAGGTGTTGCTCATGCTTCAGAATCTATGTACAAGGAGATGAAGATAACACAGGCTAGAAATGAAGCACAACGATGTAAATGTAAACAAAACAAAAATGAAAAAATCAAGGAAAGGCGAATTTAGTTAATCCAGCGCCAAAGCTATAGAAATACTTAGAACAAAGAGTGGGACGCTTGGGTTGTTTTTATTCCCATGTTTTGTGGGAATGCGCGGCCTCTGATGGATACTGCAGATGTAGCCGAGTTGCTCTTCAGTTCTGGCCCTCGTCATCATCTTCTGTTCTTATTTTGTAGCTCGTATAGCACTCCAATGTTAATCGGCATCAGGAAATTTGCGTTTACTCTGTATTTGTGACGGCGTAACTAACAGGATTGGCGAGTGCAAGGACGCAAGCGGCACGCAGCGGCTTACGACGCGAATGTTTATGGAAGGACGGGAATCTGCGCCCGCAAAAAAGGTGGAAGGCGGCAGCATGGAGGAATTGTGCTGGCGGGGGATGTTCACGGTCCTGTATCTCCATTCCTGGGCATGTTTGGGGCGAGGGACCACGACACATCGACAGCTGGGGGCTGATAGTCTCATACACCCTCAATGTGTTTGAGCGTACCATGTGTCCTTACGAGGCGGGGGTGCTATAGCGGCAAGTAACGCCGCTTATCACGCACTTGAGTTCACAGGTTGAAATCCCGGGATAGCATTCCGACCGGAATAACCCTTCCATAATTCCTGGTTGGGTTACTTGGCGCATGACATGTCTGAGAAGAGTAAACCACGTACGTTCGCGGATAAAGTTGTATAGGCCATGTCACATTTGAGAAGCACTACGATCTTTTACGGAATTAGACATTTCGAAAAAAGTGTGACAATTGGCAAATGCTTTCTGCCAGCTGTCACGCCAATCTGGTTTCTCAAGCTTTCAGGTTCTCGGTAGTTTGGGTTTATTTTTTTCAGAGTTCTTAGCTATGAAATCTGTCGGCTTGTATGGGAAAGTCGTATCCGTGTGTCTGGAAGTGGCATTGAATAACGAAAATGATCTTGAATGCAGGTGAACCTTGCTAACGTTGAAATAGAATTTGTTTGTTCAGTATTCTTTTGAAGAAGGTTGTGCCTACAAGACTATTATAGCTCGTTCACCATTATATGTGAATGACTTCCGAAGAAAATGACTTAGTAAAGAAGCGACTCACCCGTGGCCAGCGAGAGAGGGCCGTATCAGTTGGAACTTCTAGCCGACTTCCGAATAGGGTTCATTTGGTGCTGGTGGTCCAAGGGTTCAGCACACGCTCCTGGGAAATCCTCACTTGAGCTTAGGCGTCTTTGTGTTCTGATAAGCTCTATGTGAATGTTTCTAGTTTCACCAGTACTCGTTTGCTGGCTGTTTCTCTGATGACATCTATACTCTCTCTCTTTCTCTGACAAAAAGACTCATTTAAAAAAGAAAGATAAATGATGAATGCATTTACCACATGGTCTGTGGCAGCAAATGTTGCCCGTGCAGTCGACAAACCCTGAAAAATTTGTTTCCATAGAGAATGAAACATGCCATCGACTTCGTTGTCCAATGAGGTTCCTCATTTATAGCAAGGTTGTCCCTATAGAGCATAGCTTCGAGCAAGCAACAGTGAGTGAGCAAAAACTCGTCCTGAAAATCGGCACTATTCACACTTAACTGCCCCATTCTTCCTAAATCAGGCCAGCTCTCCTCCCCCTGAATTTCTTTTTCAAAGGCAGATTCTGCTGAAATTCTCCTTCAAGGGTAATTTAACTTCCTAGGCACAATCATCCGCTTGTCCCGAAACTTTCTGGCACTGCGCCACAGACGTCGGCCAAAATACCTTAATTCAACAAATTCGCAAAAAGTTTGACTCGAGGGATAGATTGAACCCCTGAACATAGGTATCACATCCACTTAGCGCTCCGCGTTACCAAGCGGTGCATTACTTGTGCACTTACAGAACGGCGAGACAAGGCAATACCCTTTCTGGTGGTTTCTGCAAGTGATACTTTCCTTTGGCTCAGCCTTACCTTAGCAAAGGAAAGGATCACTAACGCACGAATACTGTCGATGTCAAAACACTCTCAATTGGAAGTACCCTTGAAGACCATTTTCCAGGCAAATCGAACTTCTGCCTCGAACTTCGAAAACTGGGGCAGTAAAGTGTGAATAAAGCAAGTTTTCCACCAAAAAGGTGTGTGCAATGTATGTTTGTATGTCTGTATGTGTGTTTGAGGCGGAGATGGTGTAGTGACAAGTGGGGCGCTCACCATTCGCGCGGTCCCGGGTTCGAATCCCGGGTCGACTCCCGCCCAGGCCAACCAAGCCTTCTACCCTCCGGGGACGGTGAATTGGTACCAGATTCGTCTGGGAGGATAAAACACTGACTTGTACATCGGCTGGCCACCGCAAGTCATTGTATAGGCCACATCGCATTCAATAACCCACTACGATTCTGAATGGAAGTAGAATGCGTGCCGCATCCCAAAGGGGTTGATCAACGGCGAAGACTTTATCCTTTATTTATGTGTGTTTGACCGGAAATTCATAACTTCCTTCAAAACAGCGATAGAGCCTCAAACTGATAAGTGATGTAGGGGGTCGGGCAGGAACATTATTGGTGGGTGGCAGGAAGTGATAACAGTTGATAAGATACCATAAGGAGCCTTAGAAAGGGAAGTTCAGCAACATCATAACGCGCGTCACAGCAGCGGTAGAGCGTTGGTTCCAAGAAGTAAGATAGAGGGCAGGATGGGGACATTTTGGTGGGTGGCAGGAAGTGATAACAGCCGATAAGATACCATAAAGAGCCTTAGAAAGGGATGGTCACTAACACCATAGTGCGCGTCACAGCGACGGTAGAACGTTGTTTTCAAGAAGTAATATATGGGGCAGGATACACATTATTGGTGGGTAGCAGGATCTGATAACAGCCGAAAGGGAGCCCGCTTCAGGAAGGGAACAAAATTCAACACAAGAGTCGGAGCAACAACGGGGAGCTGCATCTTTACTATGCCTGCGACTGAACTTGACCACCGTTGCCCAAGAATTAATGGGCTAAACCTTAGTGAGCCGAGATGTTCCTATCCCTTAAGATGTAGTCGGAATTGATCCGACCGCTAAACTCTCGAGTACCACCCAGAAGTAAAAGCCTAAAATTGTTTGCCAGTGAGGAATGATAAGAGTCGCCAATAGACCGATATGTGAAAGCTGCTCACGGAAGAATTAGGATGTAAGAACACTTCACTATGATTTCGATATTGTTACCATTGAAACTCTTTCAACCGCTAAGTTGTCTCATTTCCAACGAATGGTGAGTGTTGTGATAAGCACCATACGTTGGAAAATGTTCATTAAAGAGGAGAATTATGATGAAATGGGCCGTGTTTTGAAGCATGGGAAAAAGGCGAAGTTTTAGGGGCCACCACAAAATTCTGCCATTGTTCAGTACCATAGGTTTAACAATTCGCGCAGTAATGCGCGTCAGCCAAACTGGTAAATTATACCTGACGAAACAAAACATCGATGCCGGTCATCTTCTTTTGTATGTTCAAAGGTATTCTTTCCGAGAGCTCACGCAGCTTTTCATGCATATGAAGAGAAAACGCAGACGTATCTTCGTCACGAACTTTACTGATGAGTTCGCTGAAAAAATGAGTGATTAATGATGATGATCAATTAATCGAACAGCTTAAAATTCCAGATTGAAAGAAAAGTTCATCAATCACTACTTAACTACTACTGCCACACAAGCATAAAATAAAAAGCAAAGAAATGCATCTCACTTACACCAATCTGCATGGTGAAGAAGGTGTCTGAATAGTCAGAAACAAATCCAGCAAAAAGTTATCAAGGGAATTTTTGAAGCTTTTCCTGCACTCGCATCGTATAGAATACACAGACTCCAATAATGTCATCCTCACATCTTCATCTCGATGCAAAGCAAGTGTCGCACAAAGGACTCGTACCTGGAAAATGACATTCTAGTATTCGACCAAAAGCTAACCCGCCTAGCAGAAGCCTAAATGCTACATATTACTGCGACAATCAGGCAGACACCTGGCATCTACCGAGCGGGTGGAAGATAGCCCAGCCTTTCCCAGTCTTCCTCAGCATCTTTCCAATTCAATAAGCTGCAAGGTGAAACTGAACATCTGAACATGCATTATCTTCGCCCTTGAGTTCTCGTTCTTGAGCACTTCAAACTTACCATCATTACTCCTCCCTCCCCACCACTATTAATACCAGTTTTTGCCAGCTGTTTCATGTTTCCGAACCATCCTAGGAAAGTTTGGCAGACGTGTAAACAACCTTCACATATTTTGATGGTTTCCGTTTCTATGGTGTCACGCAAGTGGCCATAACAGTCAGCAGTCCCGCCCACTTCCACACATTACGCAGCGTTCATACTTCGCGACAGCAGCGGCGATCGCGGCGACCTCGGCGATCGCCGCGATCGTCGGTACATGGCAGAGCGCGCCCCAACGCTATTACTTGCGCTCCGAAGGCTTTTGGGAAGAAGCGACTCAATTTCATGCTTTTTTCCTTTAACTGCAATTTTCTTAGATACTGAAGCTTGGTTTGACACAAAGAAAGGTGAACTAACCTAATGGCTTTTGTTTTCTATTTTCTTTCTTGATTCAGGATAGAAATGAGCAAAAAGCGTGAGAGCTTCATTTAGGGTAGGTTTTTATTGTTTCTTTTTTCGTCGAGCTTATACATGAGGTTATAAAGTTTTCACCTGTTGATGTTGCGTAAAATGATTAGTGTTTTGGTTCCTAGGTGAGTTTCTTTCTGTTTCTTTTTTTTCTTCGTTGTTTGAACTCGACTTGTAACTATAAATGTTTTGGAAGTTGGAACAGTTCAGACGATAGGAATTTTAAGGCGCTTGCATAAATTGAAACAATAAAAACAAAAGAAACAAAAAGAAGCTCACCCAGGAAATGGAGTTGGCCTTCATCCCGACCTAAAAAGAAGTGAAACCTCCTTACCTCATATTCCAGATCCGCTTATGTATAGAAAGTCGTAAGTTATCAGTTAGTAGCCATTAAGAGAAAAAGGTCTCACAAGTTGGATTTCCTTATTTATCAAGCGAGCAGTCCATAATAGCGTTGGGGCGCGCTCTGCCACGTACCGACGATCGCGGCGATCGCCGAGGTCGCCGCGATCGCGCGCTGTCGCGAAGTATGAACGCTGCCTTACCCTCATTGTGACTGCATCCGAGTGGTTCTACAGAAAAGAATCGTTGCTCATTCATATCGCTTCCTCGGGCCTCACACCTTTCTGAGGTCGCTATACGATTTATTGCGAGACACCACCCCTTTCAGGCGCACTTGCCATAGCGGTGAGTTATGCCCATTTCAAATGTGCTCCGAAAGTGTTCGGTCATGAATTATTAATTGTGAAACTGTTCCACTCGAACCACATTTTTTTGTGGAATGTTTGGTATCGCAACTCATAGACACTGACCCGAATTTCCACAAGCCTATATGGGGCGTCATCCTTCCTTGGATAGCGAACATTTCCCGAGAGTATTCCAATAAGAAGTCGCGACCACTGGCAGCCAAATGTAACAACCAATTTCTATTTCTTTTATTCCGAATGAAAGAAATTCCGAAGAAAAAAAACTGAAGGTTTTATCACATTAGGTTTCATTTGGCGCAGAACCCCCGAATAAGCAGAGTTAACGTAACACTTCAGGCTTGCTTAGCAGTAACTTAGCAGCCAGCAGAGGCAGTAGTCAATATCAGAAAAATCGCAATGATATGAGACCGAAAAAAGTTCGAAAAAACTGACTATTTTGGTTATATTTGCAGCCGTGGAAGCCCTCCAACTTTCATCACGTTGCACATATAGCTCTTGAATTGCTGGTTCCAGCTCCTTTATGGGAGTGTATTCGCTACACTGCATGGAATCCGCCATACAGAAGCATACAGCGCGTGACATTATCTTGAAAATGAGGTGTAAGTAAGCGTGCACTCGATTACAGTGACATCACAATGCAGTTTAATTACCTTGAGCGATAAAACTGGAATCTGAAAATGTCCCGATGATGAATTGCAAGCAATGTTAGCCAATGTGGATGAAATCCCCGGCAGGACAATACTCAGCGAATCACTGCTCCCTTCTGAGGAGTCGACCACGGCTTCCAAACATAAAAGAGCCATTTTCCTGCAGAGAGAAAAAAATAAATATTTTGGATTCGAACCTTTCCGTAATAACGCCATAAGGCAAAACAGAAGGAGTTGGTGCGTTTAGTCGCAATTATCTATATCACTGTGTCTATTAGTAGCTATCACCCCATACATATAATTCGCTTCGTCTGTTTGTTTGTTTGTAAGTTTGTTTGTCTGTCCGGAAATTCGGTTCGACCTGAAGAACGACTTGGAGAGGTCGGGTCAAGGTGGGGATGGGTAGGGCATGGGACAAGAAATAAAAAGCACACTTGACCTATGGGAAGCCCCGCCCACAGTGGGCGGGGCACTCGCCGAAAGTTTGGGGTTCCGCAGAAAAATGTTCATAATTCGCTTCCGGAGCAGCTTAAAGATGGGGGAAAAAGGGAATAAGGTTAGTAAGGAGTCGCCAGACTAACTGTGGCGGACACATCCAAAATGGGCGGGCGTACTCAAGGTGGGCGGTGCTTCTCGCAATTCAGTAATCGGAGGTTTGCGAGCGTGTGTGGAAGTCGAAAATTTCGTGTAAAATGTGAATCTGGTCGAATATGAGGCAGTCAGAGTGTGTTGGGACCCGAACTTAATGGGCGCAGCTTGCCCCAAATTGCAGGGTATTCATTTTAAAAGTTTGTAGCTCGGTCCCAGAACACTCCAGACGCCGGAAAAAAGTGGACTAAGCTAGCAGTGGTCGCCGGTAAGGACTGTGGGGCAAAAACATTGTGGGCGGAGCCTGCTTCGAGGTGGGCGGAGCCAGAAAAAAGGTCTGTAAACGGTTCCAGAGCGCTCCGAAGACCGGAATAAAGTGAATTCAGGTCAGCAAAGGGTCGCCGATTGAGATATGTGAGGTATACATATTTTACGCGAGGCCAGCCCGAGGTGGGCGGAGCCAGACGAAAATTCTCTAAAACTGTCCCACAGCACTTCAAAGACCGGAAAAAAAAAAACGTGGATTAAGGTGAGGGTCGCCGGTAAGGACTGTGAGGCACAAAAAATGGGGGCGAGGCCTGCTTCGAAGTGGGCAGAGTCAGACGAAAGATCTGTAAAATGGTTTCAGAGCACTCCGGACACCGGAAAGAAGCGGATTAAGGTCAGGCAGAGGGTCGCCGGTGAAGACTGTAGGCACAAACATTGTGGGCGGGGCGTGCTCCGAGGTGGGCGGAGTCAGACAAATAATCTGTAAAATAGCTCAAAAGTACTATAGACACCGGAAAAAAAGTGGAGTACAGAACAAAACTACAGGGGGGGGGGCCAAAAAAAAGTCATTTCGGCCGAGCCACATATCAACGAAGTTTTCGCAGCCCAGACAGGGGAAGTGGATATGAGTACCAGAGTGGAAGATACCCAAGATCTTCCTCTATAAGCTGGAGCAGGTCTGCCGCCAATCGCCTTCATGTACGCCAAAATATGAAGTCATCTCCAGTCGCGGCCTGACTGGAGAACACCTTTGGAATTCACGTCGCCTCCAAACAGCTGCGAAACTTCTTGAATGAAGTCATCCACAGATAGCTACCTGGAGGTCAGTACTCTTGATCTGCAAGACCTCCCACATTGAGCAGCCTCGTCAACTTCGCTACGGTCTAGGACATCATCTTCACCGTATTCGCCGAGGCGCGAGTTGATGGTATGGACCGGGGTACCTGGAAAGGGAAGACCGATATTTTCTTTGTAGACCCCGACTGAAGGTGAGCGCTGGCGGTTACATCAAGTAACTCGAAGAAATATCCTCCCTACATGTGGTCGCCCGTACCTTCTTGGAGACCTTGTGCTGCTACAGGTTTGGGTGCCACCACATGGAATCGAAGGGTTTTGGAAAAACTCCCGCCTACTTCGAATGGAAGGGCGTTTCGTACCTGGTGAAGATGTAATATTGAAGTATGTCCCCTGACCTGAACCCACTCAATTACCTAGTTCGGGCGGACTCCAAGAGGGTGGTCTACGGTGGCGGAGAAATCGACTACCCCGCTGATCAGGTACCACATCGCAG